CAGGACCATGGACCTAGACATGGTCCTTAGCAGCAACCTGGCCCTGGGGGGCAAGCAGGCCAGCCACATTATCCACTTCCTAAATATATTTGCTTCTTCAGTTCTGCCTCTTTCCACAGCACATGAACAGTTCTGCTTCTCTTTCTCTCCCATTTCTTCACCATATATTTGCTCATCATAATGGCATCTACCTGCCCAGCACCATGTGGGCCTGTGGATGTCTTCAGCCAGCCAGGACTGTAGGACCCAAGCTTTCTGTGGAATAATCCCTCTGTATACTATGAAGATGGGTTGCTCTCATTGTTAATAAAAAGCTGATTGGCCGATGGCTAGGCAGGATTTCAGGGGCAGAAAGAACAGTGGGGAGAAGGGCAGAGTAGGAGAAGGTGCCATGAGATGCAGAGCGAACAGTATAAAAAATACATAGATGAAGTAAACGAACCTTGGGGCAGCACATAGAATAATAGAAATGGGTTGATTTAAGTTATAAGAGCTAGGTATAAACAAGCCTGAGCTATTGGCCAAGAATTTATAATCAATATTAAGTCTCTGTGTGGTTATTTGTGGATTGGCTGGAGGAACAGAGACAATTGGCAGTCTAGATAGAAAACCACACCTACAGAAGGTGCACAATGTTCAGGGCCACATATGTTCATATAGAACCCAAAAACACTTCTTTTAAAAGGTTCAAAACACACAAAAATGGAGCCAAACACAGTTTCCTAGTCCTACAGTCTCTCATGCAGCCCATGGTACAGGGAGGCATCTCCCAACCACTGGCTGCATGATTGAGCCACCAGCATGAGCCCTGCCAACAGAACATGAGCTAAGACACATGGCAGGTTTAAGGTTTTGCTCATGCAGACAGAAAAGATTATAGGTATGCAATGAAGACAGATGCAGACAAAAGAAACCTTTAAATGGGTTACAGTGTGTTTAAAAATGTACAAAGCCTTGGGAAAGAAAAGAGGAAAGATGTTGACAGTCATAGAAAAAGAATAGTTTAAAAATAATAAAGTCCTTACTGAAGGAGTAAAGTAATATAAAAAATAAACTGCTTGGAGATTGAAAATACACAGGGAGTCTGGATCCTGTGTGTTATTGTGTTGTCTTTAAATTTTCTGATTGCTGATGAATGAGCCATACCTGCTAAGAGATATTGGATTGTGGGAGCTTCTAGATTAAACCAATCTATATATTTTTAAAATGTCATGACTTTTTTAAAGTCAAAGGTGTGTTGCTTTGGGTAAGAGGTTATACTTTTGTTCCCCCCAGAAAACAAAAGTCAGTGGGTTTATTTTGAGTTGAAGAAGTTTAAGTTTGATGGAGGAAGACACCCTGAAAATCCTGGCTACCGACATAAAGAAATAAACCTAGAAAATCTATAAGACATGTGATATATAATTTACCTGCTCAAACATAAAACAAAAAATCCTCTTTGGCTGACTTTTGTACAATACATAGCATATTTGAATGAAGGCAGATATGTATGTTATCTTTAATAGTTTATGTATTTTCAGAACAAGGGAACAAGACATCATTGAAAACAAATGACCTAGGTGGTCTAGCATCTCAGAATGCCTCTGCTGCAGTTTTCTCAAAGTTCTGCTTCCAGAACAACTTTAAGGCTGCTGACCGAGATGGTCCAGCCTCACAGACTACTCCAGTCAAGATTTAACTATTATCCTGATTTTCTCAAGTTCCCCCAAAGATTTCAGTGCCCCCAGACAACAGGAAGCAGTCTAGAGAAAATAATGCCTACATTAATACCCAAAAGAGGAGTTATGGATGTTTGTTATCAACTGGGGTAGAGGGTGGTTACAAATTGTAGTTGGCCATGGTCAAAAAATAAAGTAAAAGAGTTAGATTCAAGGATCTCTTTCTATTGGCAAAATTATTAAAGCCACTCCACGTAGTTAAAAGAAAGATTTATTTAGTGGGTAACTTACAAATGAAGGGATAGGTAGGTTGTGGAGTCTGGGGAAGGTGTATCGCAATCCAGGCTGTTCCCTGGAGCTCTGGTTGGTCAACCTCCACCATCAAGGGTCCAGGAACAGAGAGCAAGATGGCCCATTCCAATCTCAGGTCTCCAGGGTCCTCCCTTGGCCCCAACTTGTAGGTGTGACAGTTGCCGAAGTCTCAATGGGGGTTGGAACTTCCAGATTAAAGCTAGAATGGCTACCCACTACATCTTTCTAAGGAAAAAAAGGGGATATAAAAATGATGAGATTAAAAGGAAAGATAATTAAATCTACTTTAATCCAAAAAGTAACTACTAGTCTTAAATATTTTATGTTGGTTTGGATTTTTGTATAGTAATTCAAATTAAAGGTTATTTTTGACAGGGTATGTTATACATACATTTCTACTCTTGTTTAATGTATTGTATCTATACAACTCATTTAACAATGTAATACAAATTTTCACTCCTTAAAAATTATTATTATAAACTATTTAGGATAAGAAAGAAATACAGAGCCAGAGGGTGGTGGCACACACCTTTAATCCCAGCACTTGAGAAGCAGAGGCAGGCAGATCTCGGTGAGTTCGAGGCCAGCCTGGCCTACAGAGTTAGTTCATGAAAAGGCACAAAGCTACATAGAGAAACCCTGTCAAAAGAAAGAAAGAAAGAAAGAAAGAAAGAAAGAAAGAAAGAAAGAAAGAAAGAAAGAAAGAAAGGAAGGAAGGAAGGAAG